AATGACCTCACACAAATCACAGCAATCGTGAGTGTTTGTGAAGTGTGACAGCTTCGAGTGAATGACCTCACACAAATCACAGCAATCGTGAGTGTTTGTGAAGTGTGACAGCTTCGAGTGAATGACCTCACACAAATCACAGCAATCATGAGTGTTTGTGAAGTGTGACAGCTACGAGTGAACGACCTCACACAGATCACAACAATCATGAGTGTTTGTGAAATGTGACAGCTACGAGTGAACGACCTCACACAGATCACAACAATCATGAGTGTTTGTGAAGTGTGACAGCTACGAGTGAACGACCTCACACAGATCACAACAATCATGAGTTTTTGTGAAGTGTGACAGCTACGAGTGAACGACCTCACACAGATCACAACAATCGTGAGCGTTTGTGAAGTGCGACAGCTACTAGTGAATGACCTATCTAATGTTGTGTTGTAAATGTATTCTTCTGTTCATAACCTGCTCTTTTCTTTTCAGACGGTGACTTGGGAATTTATGGTACTGCTAAAGATGCCTACATGAAACAGAAACATAGGTTGGTCTGGGAACGTCGGCAAGCTGCAAAACTTGAAGAGAATGAAAACAAAATCTGAAGTAGATTAACATCATAATTTTTGTTTTGTTTTTCAGATGTGACATTTATGTAGTAATCCTAGTGTAGTGCATACATTGGAAGGCAGTAACTGTTAAACTATTTTTTAGGTTATTTGGAAATAAATATATTACACTGAAAAAGTCAAACTTTCTTCTGTGCAAAGTTATGTTTTAAATTAGAACAGTAGCTTAATTTCTCAGAAGATGTTTTTACATAAAGGAAGATAAAATAAAATATGATGTACCATTATTAAAAACAGTGATTCATCAATATACTTCCTCTGACTTTCCTTCTATTTCTCCAGAGTTCTCACAACTGTTACCAAAGAATAAAAACCAAACTGAAGTTACTGACAGAACCCAAAGTTACTCAAAATTATATCTACCATTAACATTTACAGTTGCCCCAAGTAGATAGAGTTGACAGCTGATAGAATAATTTGTGAAGAAATATTCAGGAATTTTAGTTATTGTACTCTTACTTTTTTAGCCCTAAAAATAAGCTCTTAATGTTACTGTAGAAAATGTGTTAACCTTCATATCCTAAAGTGCCTGTTTAGTTTGCAGGTTAAGGACCAACATGAACAAATTAGTGTAAAGTGCCTGTTTAATTTACAGGTTAAGGACCAAGATAAGCCAGTTAGTATAAACTGTCTGTCTGGTTTACAGATTAAGGATCAATATGAACCAGTTAGTGTAAAGTGCCTGTTTAGCTTGTGGTTTAAGAACCAAGACAAGCCAGTTAGTGTAAAGTGCCTATTAATTTACAGGTTAAGGACCAAGATAAGCCAGTTAGTATAAATTGTCTGTTTAGTTTACAGATTAAGGATCAAGATGAACCAGTTAGTGTAAAGTGCCTGCTTAGCTTGCAGGTTAAGGACCAAGACAAGCCAATTAGTATAAAGTATCTGTTTAGCTTGCAGGTTAAGGACCAAGATAAACCAGTTAGTATACATTGTCTGTTTAGTTTACAGATTAAGGATCAAGACAAGCCAGTTAGTGTAAAGTGCCTGTTTAGCTTGCAGGTTAAGGACCAAGACGAACCAGTAATTGTAAAGTTCCTTTCAGGACCAAGGTGAACTAGTTATACAAGCAAGACTTAACTCTGGTCTCAATGCACTGATCAAAGAGTGAAAGTGTCACAGTAATTTATGATTAAAGTTGTTGTTTTCAGTTTATAAAACGTGCTAATCAAAGACAATGAATTTATACCCCCATTTAATTTCGACTACACTTTCAGTTAACAGAAGGAGCTAATTAAAGAGTACAGCCGAGACAAAAATGTGTGAAGTAGGTCTATAACGAATGGTAGAGATTGATCGTAGAAGATTTGGAACACGTTACCTAACAAAGGCTCCAATCTTCGCTAGTACTAATTTTATTAATATACCTCCATTTAATTTCGACTACACTTTCAATTAACAGAAGGAGCTAATTAAAGAGTACAGCCGAGACAAAAATGTGTGAAGTAGGTCTATAACGAATGGTAGAGATTGATCGTAGAAGATTTGGAACACGTTACCTAACAAAGGCTCCAATCTTCGCTAGTACTAATTTTATTAATTCGTCACCATAACTACTAATTGAAAACACTTACTTCATAGGCAAGGCATATAACTGAACTAAATATTGACATTTAGTTTTAAAATATGTTATATAGAACATAAATCATGTTTCATATTTGAAATAAAAAATATCTATAACTACCTCCTTTAAATGAAAAAAATAGTTATTCAAAAAGGCTTATTTGTTCTGAAAAAACAACAGAAACACTGACATATTGGGTTAATTAATTTATAACAGCATTATTATAAACACTGACATATTGGGTTAATTAATTTATAACAGCATTATTAAAAACACGAACATATTGGGTTAATTAATTTATAACAGCATTATTATAAACACTGACTTATTGGATTAATTAATTTATAACAGCGTTATTGAAAACACAGACATATTGGGTTAATTAATTTATAACAGCATTATTAAAACACGGACATATTGGGTTAATTAATTTATAACAGCATTATTATAAACACTGACATATTGGGTTAATTAATTTATAACAGCATTATTAAAACACGGACATATTGGGTTAATTAATTTATAACAGCATTATTAAAAACTGACATATTGGGTTAATTAATTTATAACG